TGTTGCCATTGCTTTAGGGCAAAAACTACGGCTGCTAACTCCAGGTCATGTGTTGGGTAATTACGCTCATGAGGTTTCAACTGCCTGGATCCATACGCGACTACCTTTCCATTCTGCATGAGCACGCACCCTAACCCTTCTTTAGACGCATCGCAATACACAGTATACCTCACTTCTCGTTCTGGGATGGTCAAAATTGGTGCACTAGTTAACCACTTCTTTAACTCTTGAAAGGATTTTTCGCAAGCTTCGTCCCACTCATACTTTACTCCTTATTGCATCAAACGAGTCATTGGTTTGGCTAGTTTGGAGAAATCTTGGATGAACCTCCGGTAATAACCGGCCAATCCTAAGAAACTGCGAATTTCTGACACAGTTTTTGGTTGCTTCCAGTCTAATACTACCTCCACCTTGTTTGGATCCATTGCAATCCCATTCTCTGATACTACATGCCCTAAGAATTTTACTTCATTCAACCAGAACTCACATTTGCTTGCCTTGGCATATAACCGATTATCCCTAAGAACTTGAAGGACAGTCCTTAAATGTTGCTCATGCTCTTCTTCAGATCTTGAATATACCAAGATGTCATCAATAAATACTACCACAAACTGATCGAGGTATGGTCTAAAGATCTTATTCATTAGGCTCATGAATACTACCGGTGCATTGGTTAGTCCGAAGGGCATTACTACGAACTCATAATGGCCATATCTAGTACGAAAGGCAGTTTTTGGTATGTCCTCCTCCTTGACTTGTAGTTGATGGTAACCTGACCTGAGATCGATCTTTGAATAGCACCCTGAGCCTCTAAGTTGGTCAAAAAGGTCATCAATTCTTGGGAGTGGGTATCGGTTTTTAATCGTGACTCGATTAAGTCGACGGTAATCTATGCATAGCCTCAACGACCCATCCTTTTGCTTAACGAACAACACGGGTGCTCCCCATGGTGAAATACTTGGCCTAATGAATCCTCTCTCGATCAATTCCTATAGTTGTGTCTTCAATTCTCGTAATTCTGCTGGTGCCATACGATACGGGGCCATAGATATTGGGGTGGTTCCAGGTTGTAGCTCGATGTGCAAATCTACTTCCCGGGTTGGTGGCAATCCCGTTAACTCCGTAGAAAATACATCTGCATATTCACATACTATGCGCGGAAGTTCTAATTCTCCTTGGCCTTCCTCATTCAAAATCAGACTTGCTATCCTACTCGCAATTTGATCCCACCACTGTGTCCTATGTTTTGTTGAAGCCATGGGGTCTTGTCTATCCCCCTTAAACTGGAAACGAGTTCCATCTTGTGTGTGAGCTACCACTTTCCTCTGATGACAGTTGATCACTACTCGTTGGGCAGAGAACCAGTCTATGCCCAAAATAATATCGAAGTCTGACATTTCCATGACACAAAGGTCGCACGTTAAGTGTAGGTTTGACATTCCTATCTTACAGTCCTTACAGATCAATCCTATCTGAATGCTTCCTCCCATAGGTGCCATTACATTTAAGGCAGTTTCTAAGGGTTCACATACAAGTCCTAATGACTGAGCGCAAGCAGAGGATATAAAGGAATGTGATGCACCAGTATCAAATAAACATGCACCCAAGAATTGTATAATACTAAATTACCCTCAATAACAGACGGGTCTGCTTCTTCCTCTTGCAAGGCAAAGACTCTGCCGGTTGCCTTCTGGTTGCCACTGGTCTTGGTGTTTTGAGTTCCCCCATTCTTCTGGTGCTGCAGTCCAGTCGATCCTGTCTTGTTCGTCCAAGGCTTCTGCCCACCTAATGCCTGGGCATTTGCTCCGGAACCTCCTCCTTGGTACCTAGATGGAGGGAGTTGGGGGCATTCGCTCTTTTTGTGCCCTAATTGTTGGCAATGAAAGCACTGGATTTGTCCCGTCGGCCTTTGTTGATAGCCTCCTCTCTGGATCTGTTGCTGTTATGGTTGTGGTCTGGAGTAGGGCTTTGGCGTCATGTTTCCTTTTTGGTTCCTCTGAGGTCCAACAGACGTCTGACTCCCTCTCCTCTTGTTCCAAGCCTTTCTAGCGTCTGTTACTTCCCTCTCAGACTCTAATGCCGTATCCAGCACCTCAGCAAATGTGGGGAGTCGTTGCGGAATAACTCTTCCCCTTATTGTAAGGTCCAACCCCCACTCAAACATCCTTGCCTTCTCTTCATCATTTGCTACATATCTAGTTGCGTAACGGGCTAGTTCTTCAAATTTTGCAGCATACTGGGTCACGGTCATGTTTCCTTGTTCCAGGTTTTGGAATTCCTTGACTCGCTCTCGACGGACCGTATTTGGAAAATATTTATTTAGGAACAGTTCCCTGAACTGGTTCCATGATAGCCTCACTACATCACGAGTGTTCTTGATTAACTCCCACCAGTGGTCAGACTCATCATCAAGCTCAAATACTGCCAAAGCTATTTTATCAGTGGCCTCGGTTATGCCCATGGTGTTTAGCATTTTCTCTATCTGCCGAAGCCAGTTTTAAACTACCTTTGGGTCCGGCACACCAGTGAACTTTGGAGGCCTTTGCTTTCGAAACTCAGAAAAGAGTCGAGTCCTCTCATTCTGCCGATTGTTCCTTACTTGCCCTAATCCCTCCAAAATTTAATGTTCTGGATTATTGGGAATGTCAGCCCCTGTGGGGACGGGTCCGTGTTGGTTTCTGGGGTGGTTTCGTGCATTGTTGCTGGTTCCAACATAGTCATTGGCGCGCGTGTCCACCATTCTGTTCATGGCACATGGTGAGTTGGTTCCAGTTTTAGAAAATCTTACTATTTAGATTTGAAATGAAAGTTTAGTTTTCTTAGACTGTACTAAAACAAATAACAGTCAACAACATAGATCAACACATCATTCGTATATTATAATAGGCATCATTCCAAAAGGGCTCCTAATCGGAGTTACATTTAAAGGGCATCTACGCATTACAAAGTTCAGGCTGTCTTATTTTAAGGATCCCATCAGCGGATCTTACAAAAGTTTAGCTTTACTATTTCTCGAACTAGTTCTTTTTTCCCGACCAATCAAAGTCTTCTTGTGGATCTTCCTCAGCGGAGTCAGTGGCTTGGTTCGGAGAGCGGAGGGTGTACGTTGGTGAGAGGGGATTGTGTTCAGACAACACCTCTATAGGGTAGGCTGGGGTTACTCCATTCTGTTCTGGTGGTTGCTCTATATTCCTCGGTTGATTGTTGTTTGGCCCCTGATAACAAGATGCGTAGCTTTCAGCCTGAGTCGGAGGTCGGTGATATGCTATGGTGGTCAAAGTTCGGTGTATCAAGGAGTCTATCCTCTTATCATCTTGCTCTATTTGGACCGCCTTCTTCGCTGCCCGGCTTAAAAATTGTAGGCGACGCCGCACCAGAGACCTCTTCTGCACCCACGTATAGCGGGAGTACTCCGTTTCCATCTTATGTATCTCCGTTCTGATCATTTCCTCGGCGGCACTCACACAGCGTCGGCGGCTAAAGTTGGAGCTAACAAACATGGCCCTCCTTCCTTGCATACAGAAAGTACCTGTCACGCCCCACTTTTTATTACTCGAAGTATTACCAGTTTCATTTACTTAATTCCCTTTCAGAGATAACATGCGGAAATAAACTCGTATATTCAACTTGTAGAAGTGAATAACATTGCTCTCATTCGTATGCAACTTCCTTGCATACGGAAAGTACCCCACGAGTCGAGACTGATATCGCTTCCTGGACAGTCTCCCACTGACATCCTAAGGTGGAAAAAGATTTTTATTTGTCAGTCTACCTTAAATATAGTAGCGTGATAGATAAAATAAGATAAAGGGGTAAGGGCTTCTAGAGTCGCATATTGGGCTGCATGGATTAAGGGTTGAACCTAGGCTCTGATACCAAGTTGTAACACCCCGATACTACACTATTGATTGTAGCCAAGGGAGAGTCACTGTTAAGGTGTATACGTCTACTTCTATAGAATACCAATACATAACAACCATAATAATATTAATTTCAAAAGCTTGTTCCATTACATTACATCCCAAAGAAAATTTAAATCTTCATACGAGTCTTACAAAATATCAAAAGAGAAATTTTTAACTTTTCTAAGATAGCCAAAGGTCTTCGAATGTTTCAAGCTCGTCGTCTCCAGCTATATGTTCCTCTTCGGCACCTGGCATAACACGCCGTGAGCTTTGAATGCCCAGTAAACACACACACACCTCAACCCATTTTCCAGAGTCCAATACACAATCACAAATATAACATCAAGTAGTAGAGCATGATACACAACACAACAAATAAATAAATGGTTACAAGTTAACTGTTAGTAAACTAGAAATCTCCCAAAGAGATTTCGTCCTCCCAACCACAAGAATCAGACTCGGATTATTCGGTATGCCCCTTCTTTGGCTGCTTTGTTGCAGAACTAACCTCGGATGCCTACCATCGGTTATATACCGCGTAGCGCCAACCGCAGGGCCTCAAAAGAGACGGTGAAATAGGGCCTTGCCCAAAACCCTCCTCACACCAAACCACCTAGCGTCCGAATACAACCGCTCCGTTCAAGGGTTCCGAAAACCACTTGCGCAAGACTTTAACTTTCAATTAGGGACGCATCCCAACAACCATATAACACATTTTCTCATCTTTCCATTACTCAAGTGCTCGAAAACCCAATACCCTCCCAATTAGGTTTCCCGTTGAGTTAAAAGTTGGAAGTCAAGGTTAGTCCAACTTACAAGATAATAATATCCACATAAACATGCATCCTTAAGATGAGAAAGAAAAATAACATAACACATAAAATATCTTGCCAAGATATGATCATAACACATTTTCATGAATACCAGGACATAAAACATCCATACATAACAAATATTTCCAGATTTAATATCACATAAAGATTAAAATGAAAGGCTAGTTTAGATCCTTCACCGGACTCGGTCTTCCTATAATTCGTAGAGAATTTGATCTAGTTTCTAGAAAATTTTTCGGAAATGGGTTTGCTTTTCCAGATTTTAAGTTATTTAGAAAACATTCCAGCGCTGTCCAGATTCTGTCCAGACCCATCAATCGTTACGAAAATTTGATTTTCTTGCAAACCGCTTAATGTTTTTCAATGAAACCAATTTTATTTGAAATCTAACTCCTTAAGGAAAATTTTGACCTAAAATAGAGGTCAAGAATAATTTTATACATTTTTCTGGAATATTTGAAAGTGGGCTGTAAAAACAGTTTCTTGGGTAGATGTCCAAAACAAGAAGATTTATAAGAAAAGGGTTCCACCCAAAGGAAAGTTTTCATTTCTTTTGTGAAGAAAACATGCTAACTAGCATATATTTAACTCAGAAAGTTTGCTTGAAGGTGTGTCCTTGGAAAGTTGAGAGATTGATATGGAGAAAAAGATGGTTTTGTACCGAGATGGGAAAATACAAAAGTGATAGAATCAATACTCAACTCTTAGCATTTTTAACACAAGTAACTAATAAATAACAGATCTGAAACGTTATCTAGAACCCTAAGACATGTATTTGAAAAAGGGAAAATGAAAGAGAAGGTTGTGTTGTGGCTTACATGCTAAGCTTTGAACAAGATGGCTCTCTTCTCCCTTCCTCTTCCTCTCAAAATTCCTCTCTTGTTCTCTTTCCTCTCCTTAGGTCGAATGTGGAAGTGTGAGAGTGTTGCTTGATGATATTTATAGGCAACCTTGGTGCAGTTGGTATTGAAAGGTTGTCATTATAGCCTACTAGTTAGGATATGAAGGAACCACTACTTGAAAAATGAAAGGACCCTAGCCCACTAGTTAGGTTATGAATGAACCACTACTTTGAGATTTAAATGAACACTAATTGATATTAAATGAACACTAAACACTAATTGATATTAAATGAACACTAACTAGAATTAAATGAACACTAGTTAGACTATGAATGGACACTAGTTGGAATATGAATGGCCACTATTAAGGATATTCCTGTTTTGATAAAACAACAAAAACAATTTTAATCAACAAGATTCGAAATAATTCTCATAACTGAGGGGCTTTAAGCAAATAATTAAAACCTTTTTTTTTTGTTTTTAAAGAGAAAACATTTTTCAGGGCTTCACAATGCATGTCTTCCATGGTGGTTTATTTCTCCAATACCTCTTCATACTCCTCCATGAGTGGCTAGTTCTTCTATTTTTCTAGGGTTTTGATGAAACCCAAGCCAAATAAATAGGGTTTTCTCTTTGGTTTTTGATTATGTAATGGTTTGAACAAGTTGTATGGTATTCAAGAAGTCTTCAAATAGTTTCCATTTTTTACTTCAAATATTTTACTTTCTGTGATTGTTGAATGCTTTTCATGTAATGGTTTTCTATTCTTTCATATTCATGGTATGGGATGAACCATACTATGAGGGACGAGTCGAGTTGCTACCCTAGCTTAGAGCGAAAGACTCGTACTACTTATGATGGTTCATGCCTATACATTGAATGTGATAAGCATATTGATTAATGCTTTCAAACTTATAGTTTTGAAGTATTATTCAGTTCGAACCACAGCACAATTGATTCCAAATTTGAGACCTTATTTATGTAGCTAATGGTGAATTCATAACCAAATTTGAGACCTTATTTATGTAGCTAATGGTGAATTCATAACCTTAGGATTTTCCCAAAATCATTTTCTCCAAATTCAATTTTAATTGCTAGTTTAATCTCTTAGTTTCTTTTAATTATTATTAGTCTATGAACCATCATCTTTTTTATCAAAATTAATTTAGGAATTTTACAATTAAATTAGTTTAATTTCACATTTGTCCTTGTGGATCAATACTTGGACTTACCGTTATCTTAAAGAGTTTGGTATAGTTTAGTCTTTATTTTTCGTGTATAAAACAACCCATTAAATTTTGGCACCGTGGCCAGGGACTTTTGGCGAGATCAATTAATTTAAAGTTATATTATTATTTTAATTTTTTGTTTAGGATTTTATGTTTTTGTGTTGCTAAGTGTGCAAAGTTTTTACGAGTGGAGCTATCACTGAAGTGCAAGCAGAGCGCAACCGAGCTTTGAAAAAAAATAAAAACAAAATGCAGCACTAAAGTACTAAAAAGAAAATACTCACAAGCAAAGCACCAAAGTACTAAAAAGAGAGAGCTCAACGTGGGAGATTGGAGACATACTCGCTAGCATACTTATCAGCATTTAGCATCCACGCAAAGAGTGTGGCGTGAGCAAGCTCTTCGCACAACCCCGGGTTGTGGAGTTTTCTAATTATTGGTATTTAGTATGATAATATTTGATATACTTAGCCAGACGAGAGTTTGGGCAAAACTTAGACTGCGTGTGTCATGTGAGCGTTGTGATCGCAGTAGCGGTTAATCTTTGTTGCCACGAGTTTCTGAGCTCTCTGGAGTTTTAGACCTACTGATCTAGAAAAGGACTCTTAGAAACCTTAGAGCCTCACTTCGTCGTGTTCTTAAGGCTTGACAT